CAGGGTTCTAAACCATGCTCCTCACTTCTTGGCAGGAATTCCAGGTGCTGATTTCAGGAGAGCATCAGCTTGGAATTTCAGGGGAATTTAGAGAGCAGACATGAATATCTGTGAAACTTTAGAAAGATAACACAGCACAGTGCAAAAATAGTATGAAATTCTATATTCACACAGTGGAGACCTTGCAACAGGAACAAGAAATGCTTTTTTTTTTTTTTTTGTGAGATAAATGTAAGCAAATGCCCAAACCCAAGATTATTGCTGCCTTTTCTTTGACAAACTGAGCAGCACCACATCTTTGGAACAGAACCCTCAAACCCTGAGCAAAGGGACAAGAATTTTCTTTCCAAGCCCTGCTCTGGGGTCGGTTTTACCTCAGCACAAACACATCCATCAGATCAAAAGTGATCTGTGCAAACTCTGCAGCTTCATCAAAAAATCCAGAAAATGACATCAGCTCCAGTGGGATCCAGGGGCTGGCAGAAGCAGCTGAAGCAAATTCCTTCCAAGTGCTATTTTTCTTACAGACAATTTTTTATTTTTATTTTTTTAGATGCTCAACGATTAAAACCTTCAGTTTCTAAACTTTATTTTCGATATAGAATTTAATTTCGAATTTCAAGTGTTGATGCTCAGCATCCACTGCATTGGAGATCTTACCTTGCTTTTGGCAAACAGGTTTTGGTCACCTGCTCACATTGTGCAGTCATTAATTCCACTACAAATGAAAATATTCAGAATTCTCCAGTGCCAGCACAGAAGTGCTGCTTTGCTTTTGTCAACTACATGTGGGCAAGGCGTGGAAATGTCATGACAGAAGGTTAAATGTGTAATTACACATAAAGAAGAATGTAAATTGTTCTTCTTTTTCTTCAGCACAGTTTTTCTGTAAGAAGTGTTAAATTAGGATGAATTTCCCTATGGGGAAAAAAAAAATCAACAAAATGTTACAAATTCATAGAATCACAGAATGGTTTGAGTTGAAAAGGACTCCAAAAATCATCTTATTTCACCCCCCCACCATGGGCACAGACACCTTCCACTATCCCAGGCTGCTCCAAACCCTTCCAGCCTGGCCTGGGACACTTCCAGGGATTCCTAAATGCTGCTGCTTTTAAAAATAAAGAAATGTGCTTTCCACAGCTCTGAGTGGAAGGTGACAAAATCTTCCAGACTCCTGTTCAGAGAGAAATATTCAGCCTGGGACAGCAAGTGTTGCATAAATCCTCACCTCCCTTTCCTGCTCAGGCAGGGCAATATTGCTAAAGGGGACAAGAAATTGTAACATCCCACTGAGTGACTCTAATTTTCAGGTAAAAATGCAAAACCTGCCAAGTCCTGAGTATTTCCAAGCTGACTGTCAGAGCATCTTGTCCTGGACCTTGATTTCTGAATCCTCTCCATTTTCTCCCTGATTATCCCCCTGTAAACTCCTCTCCAGAGGATGCAGTGCATGCAGCGTTGCCTGCTCATCTAAAGCAGGTAATAAACATTGATTCACAAAAAAAAAAGATGGTGCAATTTTTATTTTTTAAGCAATCTTTGCTTGATTTAAGCGAATAAACCTCTTCATTTTTCTTGAACCACTCACTGATTGAGAGGCTGCTGCAGGAGTGGAGTGTTGCAATGTTTGTGGCTGAGGTTGGTGTCTCCACACAGGTCAGCTGGAAGATTCCTGGGCTGCTGGAATTGGAGTTTTCATCTGTCCCTCTGTTTGCCTGGATCCTTCTCTCAGCACTGCCTTGGGCTCAGTTCCCTCAGCAGAGCTTTATCTCCACACTGCTACTGTCATCTTGGAGAGGAGCAATCATCCAGATCGTGAGATAAGAAGAGGATTTTAGTGTTAAAACCCAATATTTGAGTAAAAACTGAATAAAGGTTTCTTTTGTTCTCATTTCAAGGCGAACGTGAACAACTTGGAGGTCTCAGTTTTCAAAACCATTTCAGTTTCTCTTCTGGAGAATGGGAATTACTGTACTTTCCCATCAATATTTACAGAACTCAAAGATCCTCAGCTGGAAAGAGAATTAAAAGAATTAAGACTTAATTAAAAGTGTATAAACAAACATAAGCAAACCCTGCAAGAACAAGCAGAGTTTGCAAGTTGCAATCAATTTGCCTTCCCCACATTGTGAAATCCTGTCACACTCTCCCCTGCTAATCTCATTCTCCTGTGGCACTTCAGCATTTTGTATCAATTTAGAAAACTCCGAGATTTCCCAAAAAATTAAAGGTCAAATTAGCAAAAAAACCTTTTCCCAAGCAGGAGAAAGAGCAGAGGTCAGGATTGTGTAAAATGGCACAGAGCAAACCTCCTGGAGTTACAGGCATTCAGAATGAAAATCCACTCCCAACATAAAGCTGCTCCCACTGAGGAGTTATTTGGGTGATATTTGATGTATTTGAAGTGAGCTACACGAAAATCACTCAGGTTCCTTTGCAGGAGCTCCAAGGTTTTGATTTGGAAGTTCAGATGTTGTTTTTGATGAGCTTCCCAAGCACACCTCAGCCCCTTAAATCCAGGGGAGGAGCTCTGAGTTGGATGGGATTTCCAAGCTTTACTCAGATATGTTACAATTGTTTCCCAAAATATAGGATTAGAAATTGAATCAGTTCAGAAAGCACCTCTAAAAAACTTGGATTAATTCAATATTTAGTGGTGAAAAAGTCTGAGCCAGCTGTGTGTGCCTGCACAGCAGATCTTCCACAGAAGCATCCCACTGGCACATGGCTTTTCAAGGAATATTCACTGCTGACATCTAAGAGAGCAGAAATCAAACCAAGAGCAAAAGAGAAGAAAAAAAAAATCAGCTTTTTAGCTTTGATCTTCAGCTAGTTCCTGATCTTTCACCTAAAAATCCTCCTTGCCATAGAGGAGAAGTGAAAAAAGGGTTTTTCATTTTCCACTCACAGCTGTCATTTGCTGTTAGATTGGAAAATATTGGGAAGTCTTGAGAAGGGACATCTGTGGGACAGTGGTGACACCTTCCCTGTTCCAGGGATACACCCAAAATCTCTGGAACAAAAAAAGCTCAAAAGCTCAAAACACTGAACTGGTCTTGCTTTTCTCTTGAGATAACCCTTGATATGTTCTAAAGGTAACAAATGAAAATTAAAGCTTGGGTTTGAGATCTCTTAAAAAGGAGGGAAGAAGGGGAGGCTGCAAACACCCCTGGACTTGCACTGAGCAAAAATTGAGGAATTCTTGGCTGTCCCAGCTCCAGGCCCCCAGCACAGCAACTTCCCTGCCAGGGACTTACACCACAGGAGTTAAATACAACCATTTCCATTCTGTCATTTCAAAACAGCTTCAGAGAGAGAAGATTTCTTATTAACAGAGTGGTTTCCTCCCTGTAGCTGTGAAGAACATGGAAAAATTGACCTGTGCCCAGTTTAGTCTTGACTTGCCTGTTCCAGACTCTTCAAAGGCATCGTTTCACAGGCACGAAGCTGTGACCCTTCAAATGAGTTCATTTTCATTCCTTAAGTAGGCAGAGTGCACAAATTGTCTCTTCTTGTCTGGTTTCTCAGAATTTATCAATGAATGGAGCCTGAACTGCCTGCAAGGACACTGAGATGTGTTTCAGTAGCACTGCTTCAAAGCAAATAAATCACAGAGTGTCAGCTTGTGGTGTTTCCCCCACCCCCCCCAAAAAAAAACCCCAAAACCAAATCTTTGAACCAATTTTAACTTTAAAGCCTGCCTGGGAAGTGCTCTGACCCTGTGGCCCACGGAGGATGATCCCATTGCAGAAAATCACTCGGGAAGGAGGTACAAAACTCCCAGAAAAATTCTGCAGTGTACATTTTCTTTTCTTTTGTACTGCTGATCACTGCTGCCTTGGTTTTCTTGTTGTTAATTTGACTTTGAGACGTGTGTCTTTATGTGTCAAATCCACCTTCTGACCATGCTCTGTCCAGCACACCCATTGTCTGCACACTCTGCTTCTGCCAAGAAGTATAAAGGGGATTAGAGCTGAGTCATGAAAGGCACTTGGGAAAGAAGAGAAAAGGTAGCGTGGGGTGCAAGAAAATCAGATCCCATTGTAGCCAAACTGTCTTTCCTGGAGATCCTCTGGATTACAGGTAGCTCTGTCTTCCCTTCCCTTCCCTTCCCTTCCCTTCCCTTCCCTTCCCTTCCCTT